ATTTTACTTTGCCTCCTATGACAGCAGGTATAAAAAAAAACTGCTGTAATTGAGGGTAAGTTGTAAAACGTAAAACACACGAAGCGGCATGATGGAAATCAATTTCTTATAAATCTTTCAATTCTATTGAATGTTTTATATGTGAACTCATTTAGACCCCATATTCATTAAGAGCTTAACAAGATTTATGGATCTGATTAAAATTAATGATCCGTGAACTAGCGTCGTTGATGCGCAGTACAAGTTATTGTACTTTTTAATCGCAAACGGAAAAAGGATAAGAACGTAATTTTTGTCACTTGAGGTGACAAAAATTTATTACTATGGATATTTTTTAAACATTACTTTTAGTCATAAATTTCTAATTGCGAATCTGATTGTGGAAATGCAGGGCAGTACACTCTGTCTTTTTGAATTTTTTAAAGTAACGCTGAAAAGATTTATACAAACAAGCTTCTAAAAAAAGTATTATAAAATATTAATGCATCTTAATTTTTATTTTAAATTATATACATAAAATTTGAATATCCAAAATAAAAAATATACAAGAAAAATGTATAACGTATATGATGGTACATCATCTTTGCAATTTCTAAGATTTCAATAAAGTAAAACTCATTATTTGTAAAACAATGTAAGAAGGACGAACAAATAGTTAAAGTGATAAAATTAAGTAACACTAAAAAATTTATTCTTTAGTTTTCAATTAAGAATAATAAAATTAAGTAGTGATAAATAATTTATTTTCTAATATATAATATTTCTAGCAATATTAGATTGTTTTATAATAGGCATTTCTTTTTGAGAGAATTTGGAAGTCTTTCCAGTGTTACTTCGGAAAACTCAAAGAAATACTGTCTTGTATTCACAACCATAGATTCGGTAACGCTAAATGCGTTATGTACATACACTCGTGATTGGCGAAACGCCAACGTAACGAGCACGTATTCCATGTAAAAAAAAACGTGCTTGCTCCTGATGTAAGAATTCGGCGGAAGAATATATAAACAGCGAGGGCGGGTCGACGAGATCGCTGATTAAAAGGGGTTGCGAGCCGGCACAACGTAGGGCTGGTCCCGGATAGATAGTGGCCCGGGCGAGCGTTATTACGACTCGGTACGATTTCTTGTAAGGGCGGAAAATGAGCGAGAACTTTAGCCTATTAAGCGCAGAGAGTACAACTCGCCGCCAGTAAAGACTACACGCGATCGTTCATTTGCATTTTCTTTCCACTGTCAAGCGACATCAATTTATTCTGTTCGCCTCAATCGACTGCGCCGTTGATACAAAATATTTCGGAATATCAATTTAAGCTTTAGTGACAGATCCATATATTGACCAATTTAGAATCAATATCTCTTTAATGAAGATTGAGAAGAAATTGCAATTTTTCCATATAAAAACTCTGTTGAAAATAAATTCATTTGGTTGCATAAAGAAGAAGTTTCTTTATTTATATATGCATTTTATAAATTCTGGACTGTCGTATTTATTCCCCAATTCTTTACTTTATAATAAGAGAGTTGATTAAGGTATTTATTACTGAACAATTGACTAGGCAAAATGAAGACTTCATAATGAAGGAACCTGCTGAAAATTTGTAAAATTTATATAAAATACATTTTTAAATACATAATAAATTGATAGATCTGTATTTTTAATAGGGATTTAATTAAGATAAAACCTTTCTAAAATATATTAACGAAGTATAATAAACTACTAAATATTCACTTAAAAAAAAAACATTAATCTAAAATTGTTTGATACTAAGTTTTTCAATTATGGCTTTTATGTGGACTTTGAAAGGTTCAATTATTCAAAGAAATTAGTTTAAACTTTAATCATTCGTTCCAGAACAGCTAAGAACGACAGAAGAACGATGTAATAAGGAAAAATAATTTCATTGCATTCCCGCGGATCGAATAATAATGAGTAGCGAGCGATCAAAGAAAAACGCGCGAGGGAATCAGACAACCCGGCACAAAAGATACGAGTTAGGTGAGAAAGAGCGGGATGGGACCGATACTCTCGCGAGTATCCATTACGAGTCGAGGGCTCCTCGGTTCGCGAGGGGTGGTAGGAAAATAAACGAGAGTTCCAGCTCGTTAGCCGTCGAACGGCTCCGTGCTAATAAATGCAACACGCGATGTTCTATTTGCATCTACCTTCGTAACGATGCGGTCGAATCGGACTACCTTCGCGTGCACTTTGAGAAAAGTTTTCACCCGACGAGTGGGCTGCTGAAGCTGCGAATTAGCCGCGATTGGACCCCGGTCGCACGTTAAGCGCGACCAAGATGCGCGACGTGACGTGCGCATGCATGCTAAACAACCGTATCTCTTGCGAGCTGTGTTATCGAAAAACATAAAGCTCGGCCGCACGCGCGCGCGATGAGTGCACGCTCTCGAGCGAGCGAGCCGAGCGGAGAGCGTTTCCTCTCGACAAATTAAAGAATTCAAAGCCGAATTAAATGGGATGGAACTATACATTTTCAAAGAGGCGCGCCACGGTGCACGCCGAATTAAATATGCGAGCAAATATTTTGCAAAAGTCATAAAATAAAGAGACGCAGACGTCTCTCTTTCTCTCTGCAATTGAAAAAGATATATGAATATGTATGCGTTTAAAAGGGACGTCCCAGCACTCTCTCAAACGGCGACGTATTACGTATCTGAAAAATGCAGCCCGAAAGGCTAGTTAAACTAAAAACTCGCGTTTTAAAGCCTGTGCGGAGTTCTCGAGATGGGAGAATATACGGTATATGTGCGGGAAGCAAGAGAGAAACGAAGAGAAAACGATACATCGTCCACGATATATGCAACGTTCGCTGATTTAATTTCGGCGCATCACGCACGAGTGGCAGCTGACGTTCGCTGTCACTTGGTCGGAAACTGCTATCGTTTCAAGCTTATCGAGCAGTATGCTCGTACAAATAAGGCTATTCGTGTGCTATCTCTCTCACTCTCTCTCTCTCTCTCTCTCTCTCTCTCTCTCTCTCTCTCTCTC